GTCGTGAACAAATATTTATATTTTACAAGGAATCGTTTTCATCTATGTCGTGAACATATATTCATATTTTACAAGGAACCAATAATATGATCTTTCTCTTCGACACATCGAACTATATTATCTACAATTTAAATAATGGAATTTATGCTAGCATAAATAGATAAATTGCAAACACACATACTTAACTAAAACAAATCTTATTCAAAATAGTATTGTCAAAAATCTGAAAACCGAACTTTTACAGTATACCCTAACATCTCTTACCTTAAGTTTAGTGTCGATTTCTCGCACAAAGTATGTCGATCCCTCTAAGGATTATTGTTGATCACTCTGCACAATGTAAACGCCATCTGACAATTGAATTGGTAATGCCACCACCCAATCGGTCTCGTTATAAAGAGTTGAAATACACGCTCCATCCTCAAAAGTTAAATTTTTACATGGCTACACGCGTCAACCTCGTAGTTCCTAAGGTGACACACCATTATCATTGTTTTTTTTGTTTTTTCCACATATAAATGAAGCATCCGACACCTTATAAAAGAGGGAACAAAGAAAAAAAAAAATATAAGATGCACAACAACTAAAATACGCGGCTACCCCTTCAATAAACAATTTTCATAGAATTTACTGATATCCCAACTGACGGGATTGTAGCTTTCATCCTCATCATTCGGTGACGGGATTGTAATCCTTCATGAAGGGGGAAAATATACAAATCCCTCCAAATCAAGAGTATTTGACCCGTAGGGGGAAAAAAATACAATTTCCTCCAAATAGAGTATTTTACCCGTATTGCGCACAAATCAACCAATCACAACATCCCCTTTCGTTCGCACCGACGCTCTCTCATTTTTCTTTGTCCTGTCCCGTGTTTTGCCTTATGTAGTATTTCTTAAAAACACAGCATCGGCTCCCGGCATTCTCCGGCGAGGTTTACGAGCTTGATGAAATATCTGCCGGATCTCTGCTGATTAACTTTTGTCTCTTATTTTTTTTTTCAACGATCAAGAACATAGTAAATTTTTACTCAATTGACCTTGGAATCGGAAGAGATCGAACAGTTATTTCTGCTACTCTGGACCATTGTATCTGAAAATGCGAGCAGTTTTCTTCGATATTCGGCGCGGGTAAATGATCTGGGCTTGCTTCTCTACTTGCAATTTGGACTCCGTTGTAGATTTGCAATAATCTTTTGGTTTTTGTTCGATTCATCCAAACATAGTTAGCTGATCTTGTTTGAGTTTCTTGGAGAGAAGAGAGAGAGAGAGAGAGAGACAAAGATTTGATGGTATTGAAGGTTAAAAATGTGTGTAATTAGAGGAGAGTAATTACAGGAGAAGGAGAGAGTATAATGGGGCTGAAAACCGGGTCATTTGGTGGGGAGAGATTGTTGAAGCTAAGGAATGGTGGGATGGTTCCTCGGTCTAGAATGAAGCTGTGGATGATAAGGGCCACCACTTCGGTGTTGTTGTGGACTTGCTTCGTTCAGTTGACGGCATTGAGCGAGCCTTGGGGGCTTCGGGTGTTAAAGGTTTGGCCCCCTTGCTTTTCGCGAGAATCGGCTTCTACGGCTGCCGTGGCGGCTTTGGATGTTCAGTTGTCTCCTAAACTACCTATTCGAGTTCTTCCCCGCAAGAGTGAGTATTGCTTCTCAATTGTGCATGATGACATCTCATGTTATTTAGGCTAATAATGTACTGAGAACTTTCTGGGTATAATGCGTAAGATGACACTTTCTTGTAATGTGCAATAACCTTGAAATGTGATTTTCAGGTAACAATGTGATTATTCTGCTGAAGAGTTCACTATTTTGCTTTCTTGATATACGGGAAACTTGGATATTATGCATGATTCTTTACCCAATTTGTTTATGTGGATGAATTATTGCATATGTAATTCACCTGAAGAGCTTATATTATATTTTTGTTGATTGCCTTTCTAGTGCTGTAGTAATGCTGCTTATAGGAGTTCTCCATTTAAGAACTAACTTGAGTCACGATCATTTTCTTCCTCTGTTTCCTTTGGAACTGAAAGATTTTTCCCTGACCTATATCTGGATTCTTGTATATTTTATTAGGGGTGTACAAAAACTCTGGTTACCTTATGGTTTCATGCAATGGAGGGCTTAACCAAATGCGAGCTGCGGTGGGTTGTTTTTCCATGATTGAATGACCATTTAAATTTGTATGATAATGATGAGCTGTTCAATTGTGGCATTTCAATTGATTATAATCTGTGTTGTATCAGATTTGTGACATGGTGGCAATTGCAAGGTACCTGAATGTTACGTTGATAGTTCCTGAACTTGACAAGACTTCTTTCTGGAATGATCCCAGGTCAGTTCACCTATACAGTGACATACTGACCTAAACTGATGCTTTACTCATATGTTGTTAGGGGATGTTTCTCATCCTAAAACATTAATCGTTTATGTGACTTCAGTGAATTCCAAGACATATTTGATGTTGATCATTTTATTACATCCTTAAGAGATGAAGTACGTATACTCAAGGAGCTACCTCCAAGGGTGAAGAGGAGAGTTGAGCTGGGTTTAATCTATACGATGCCTCCTGTTAGTTGGTCAGATATATCATATTATCATAATCAGGTTTAGCAGATTTCTGTTCCTGTTGCTTCATTTGTTTTCACCAACTACCTACGAGGGTTTACAAGATACTCATATTGCATACTTGTTGCATGCAGATTCTTCCTTTGCTTCAGAAATATAAAGTTGTCCATTTGAACCGAACAGATGCTCGGCTTGCTAATAATGATCAGCCCATCGACATTCAGAGGCTTCGCTGCCGAGTAAACTTTAATGCTTTAAAGTTTACTTCTCAGATAGAGGATTTGGGTGGAAAAGTTATCAAACTATTAAGGAAAAAAGGTCCTTTCATAGTACTTCACCTCAGATATGAAATGGATATGTTGGCTTTTTCTGGGTGTACTCAGGGCTGCAATAAGGAGGAGGTTTCCGAATTAGTCAGGATGAGGTAAAGCTCTTCTGTATTCAGTATTGTGTGCAGTAGTAGTAATGAAAATTCTATTAACTTCCGTTCTGACTGATAATGCATCATTCTAAGATATGCATATCCCTGGTGGAAAGAGAAGATTATAGATTCTGATACGAAAAGGAAAGAAGGTCTGTGTCCTTTCACACCAGAGGAAACGGCTTTGACATTGCGGGCACTTGGCATTGATCAAAGTGTACAGATTTACATAGCTGCTGGAGAAATCTATGGTGGAGAAAGAAGACTGTCTAGTCTTAAAAAATCCTACCCAAATTTGGTCAGTGGATGAACCAGAAATTGTAGGCTTCATTAGTTTAAGTGATTTGCTGTTTTGTGTTTCTTAATAATTTTTCTTACTATTGTAACAGGTGAGGAAGGAGACATTATTGGAACCTTCAGACCTTAGGTACTTCCAAAATCACTCATCTCAAATGGCAGCGGTGGATTATCTAGTTTCTCTGGAAAGTGATATCTTTGTTCCTACATATGATGGAAACATGGCTAAAGTTGTTGAAGGGCATCGCAGGTAATGTCTCTCCGTAGCGTATAATTTACCTGCACACACCAATCCGTTTCTTAAAAAGATTGACTTTTGTAGATGGAAAGGAGGACAATGAATTGTGTCCTGTTGTGCAACTTTGATCCTGCTTCAGTCATTTATGACATGCAAAAGCAGAAGGCCTGTTAGAATGACAGTTGATTATTTACCCCTCAAACACGTTGCAAGAGAATTTCGACGTGGTTTAGGCTTTAGTTCTCCTTTTACGTTCTATTATATATTTCTGCCTTTTGTTTTTGGTTTTCTGAAACTTACCTTTCTTTTCCTGCTCTTAGGTACCTTGGGTACAAGAAAACAATTTTACTGGACAGAAGGCTGCTAGTTGACTTAATTGACAAGTATAATTCTGGGTCGCTAACTTGGGAGGAATTCTCAGCTGCTGTTAAAGATACTCATGCTGAACGTATGGGGAATCCTACAAAAAGGTTGGTAATTCCAGATAGACTTAAAGAAGAGGATTATTTTTATGCCAATCCCTGGGAATGTTTGCAACCACAAAATGAAGATGAGCCTCTTCCACTCAGCAGCAGCATTTGACCCCCTGGATTGTTTGTTTGGTTACGATTTGGAGTTGTGTGAGGGAATTTGGTGTAATTTGTAAATATGACATGATTGTCATGGTGAAAGACGAATTATATTTTGAAAAAACCTGAGGCTTCTTGAGCTTTGACTCGAAAATGGTATAGGTTTGCATGAACGGATTTAGAGACAATTTTCTTCAGCCCAGTCATAGGGTGCGATGGGATTTTGATTTGAAGAGGCTCCTTGAAATTTGTCGAAAGCTGCAACATTGAAATTGTTGGAGTTTGGAAGCAGCTGATTACGTTGTTCTTTCTACCCGAGTCACTAATACAATTCATGTATAGAAATTACCCTGCCGTTTAAGGGGTTTATGTCCACTTGTCTGTCAGTATACAAGATCCAAACATACATTAATTTCAGTGAACTATAGTCATTGAAGTGTTAGCCCATCCAGTTCTTTTGGCTATCCTCTGTTCTATATTATTTTCTTGTTATACATTTGTTCCCTTTGGTATTTACATTTATTTCTATTTAGGATGTTCATGAGTTATGACAACGTGTCCACGGAAGTTCAGTTTCAAATTACCATGTTTTGTTTTCCTAATTATGGTTATTCATTTGCTGCCTGTGATCACAATAAACTTATTTCATTAGTTATGATATTGGATTGGTGCCTGTCACCATGGGCAGAGTTTATCTTGGTTCTTTCGGAGAGGTGGCAAGGGTCTGCCCGGGCCGGAACCGGCCCGGATTTACGGGTCTTGGAACCGGACCCGTGGTAAAACGGACCAGTTCCGGGTCTTATTTTTGTTTATTTGACCCGCCGGTTTGGGTCGAAAGACGGGTCCGACTTGTTTATTATTTTTATTGTATTAAAAAAACAGGGGTTAAAAGAACCGTCGGGTCGGGCCAGTTCAATGAACCGACCCTTAGATGTAGTTGGGCCGATTCCGGCCGATGGCGATGTCTGATTATATACATTGGAACTGGCTGAAATTTCTTGGTTGTCTTCTGCAGTATATACCCTCTATAATTAAAGTAATTGAAAATTATAATGATGTTAATAATTTTTATTGGAGTTGGCAATTATTGGCCCCTTGAAGAATGATAATACTGTTTCTATTGGTTCATTAGGCATATTCCGTAAAGCACATTACCTGTACTATTGTTTTATGGAGTAGCTGGTGAGAAATGTATGAAATTATTTAGAATTATGACCATAGTTTTTAAACCCGGCCCGAAAATCGGCCCGGGTAGGTCTCCGGGTCATCGGGTCACCTGTTCAATTGCTGAATCGGATAGTTAATTTTAAATTTTTTAAAATTATATGTATAGTATTTTTTACATGTAAATATACATAAAAGTAACAAAAACAAATATTTTGTATATAAAATTTGCACATCAAAGTGTTAAAAGAATTGTATCTCACAATAAATATTTACTATATCAATATATTTATATAGTTTTTATTTTGTTATATAAAAAATACTAAAGAAATAAAAAATATATATATATAGTGACCGGGTCAACTGGGTTGACCTGGCCGGGTCAATGACCCGGGTCGACCGGGTCAAGGCCGGGTTGGCTGGGTTTGACCAGGTCCGTTATTACCCGATCCAAATTGCCCACCCGGACCGGTTCCAGCTCCGGATCAGCCGGGTCCCAGGTCGACCCGCCGGGCCAGTCCGGGTTTGAAAACAGTGATTATGACGATGGTTACGAGGATGTAGTATGACAATCATAAATGACTGATCCATCTTTTTCAATAAACAAATAAATTATTGATCGATGAGTGGTGTTCTTTTCTATTTTATTTATTTGTTTATTTCCTATCCTTTATATTGTATTTTTCGCTTTCTCTTAAACACTTACGCGACCAAGAGTGTCAAATGTTTTTTTTATTTGCATTCCTACATTTTATAAAAGTTCATTTTTAATTGCAAGGAATGATCGGTCGTAGTTGCAATGATTTTATTAAGTTTTTTTTTAGGGTTCAGTACATCATATATACCCGACCGAACATTGACAAGAATAACGTAATGCGAACTTACGCCGATATGGTTTATACTAACGTATAAGTGGCATAGTGGTGTGATAGTATACTAATGTATACGTAGTGGTACGTAAAAGACTTCCAACCGGCTAGAAATGGTTAGATCTCGAGCTCCTCTGTCGGTTGAACGTCTTTAGACCTGCAGAACTCTCACACTGGAGGAGTTTTCTAGTGAAGAGTCTCCGAAGCTTAATTAACACTTGTAAAAGATGTACGTAAAGAGTGTAATGGATTGCAGAGTATATCTCACTCCTTTATATAGAGAGATGATACCTTGTTACCGAAGTCTGCCTATGTGGGCTGCTTAGACTGTCATTTCGTACTGCCCGAGCTACCCGGACTGCCCAAATTGCAAAATTCTGTTAGGCCACGTGATCCTAGTCTTCTTCATTAGACAGTTTAACCATACGATCGACCCTGATTACTTAGAGGTAGAGTATCAATGATGTCGAGCTCTGCCGTTATTCCATCTGGTCGATCCTTCGACCAGATGTTCCTTCAAGTCGAGCTTCGGTCCAGCCATACATGGATCCTAATTTGAACTACTGATATCTTCTGTGTTCTTGACATGTTCTTCGACCTAGGGCTCCTTTGACATGTGAAGTCCTCATTTTTTGTTCAATCTGATGACTGGCCTGGTTTGGCTCAGTTGCTTCTTCTACAAGTCGACCTGATACGGTTATCCTATATCATCTGATCCCCCTCCATTATGGTCGAGTTAATATGACTCCATCCAAGAGAGAATTTTGTGGTTCTTCGATTCTGGCGTCATTGCTTTTTTCCTAATTTCTTCGACCTTTCTTTCCACTCTTATGTCATTGTTGTGCCTTTATTCAATCTTTTGTTAGGATTTTTCCTTTTTAAACGTTTGAATTTCAAATGTCTGCCATGTGTCGAACCCTGTCCTATACTCCAACCGTTTTTTCGTCATGTGTCGTGCCCAGTCCAAGCGTCCTATCCCCTGATGCTTCACAGTCTGCGCATCTCTTGTGCAGCGCGCCCATTAATACAACATCAATCTCACTCGTATGCCTCTCTTTTGATCCTACGACCTGCTTTGTCTTTTCACCTATTGTTTTTAATTTGGGTCGTTAATCCAACCTCGATCCTACAGTCTGAATCGATCGCCTCCTCATCTTCAACTTCCTTTCTCCTATAAAAGGTTGCCTTAGCCGTGTTTTGTAGGTTTTCGCATTTTCACAGAATTTTCGCCTTATATTTTCTATTTTCCTATTGTGCTTTTCGCGAATTTATCTTGTGCCCAAAAGTTTCACCGTCATATCATCAACAACCACCAGAATCGGCAGTTTTCTCGCCATCTACACTAACTACCATGATCAGTACGTTCTCATCTTTCTTGTTTTTGTTGAATTTTGCATGTTTGATCTTCTTTTTGATTTTGCATCTCGCCCTCCTCCTCGTCCTCTTAACTTCGCGACGAGACTGAAATTGAAGATGAGAAAACCACTCCCCCTCGTCAACCTGCCCAATCAACCCGTGAAATTGCCATGTGTGTACCTAGTCCTGATGCTACACGCACAATACGACCTAGGATATGGTCACTGTTGCTCGAAAATCGCACACCTTCCTTACTGCAAAGGATGTATGGATCGATAGCTTCTTCGTCTAGTGTTGTTTACTTACAGATTGGCGTTATGTGTCATCTCGACCTTTGGATTCCTCCGATCACCCAAGGTCGACTGTTTGACCTTTTTTCCAAGACCAAAAACCTAGGACTTAGGTTTCTCCTAAGCCCTGCTCTTCTTAACCTGTGCAATGTGTTTTCCCTATAAATCAAATTTTGTCCAATCCATTCGACAACTAGCCGTCTACGCCATACTCTCTTATCATAAACTAGGCTTTATCGACCTCGACTTTTTCTACCACTGTTTCATCGCCAAGGGCCAAAAAGGTACTCTTTACCTTCAAAGCCGTAATGGAGCTCACTATATTAACGATATTCCTTCGAATGTACCCAAGTGGAAAACCTGCTACTTCTTTGTTCGACCTTCGTCTCCTTTGCCCATCGACCCCACCTGATTAGAAACTTTCACTTGTCGATTGCCTCTCCCACCTCCTTCGACCGACTTCGAACTTCGGGTCGTATAGTGGAACAAATCCCAAGTTCTTTCAGACATTCTTCTCGAGAACGAGCAGTTCCTATCACATTTTGGACTTTTAAACCAATGTTGTGCACGTCTAACCCAATGCTGTTATTTATATGTTGTTTTATGCTAATCTATGTCTTTCTTTTTTGCAGAGGGACTATTTAAATTGAAAGGACCTCACTCCTCTTTCAAATTGAAGGGGTAATGAAACTTCTTCCTCTCCTGAGGAACGCGTCGAGCCTCGACCTAAAGAGCCAATGACGAGGGTGGACAAAAAATGACCTCACACCAAAAAGGGGTCTCCGTCGAGAAAGCAAGCGCGCACTCATCAGGCCGAGGTGATGACTCCTGAGGACGTCCCTTCCTCCGTCGACCTCCCCGCGCCACAGGTTGAGAAGTCGCACATACCCTCTTCGACCACTCTAGTTGAGGTTATTCCTTCTTTTGCCTCCAACTCCCAAGGAGCAGCCATCAGTTCACATTTCATGAAGTGCATTCCCCCAGCCGACACCCATTGTTGAAGTTCTGATTGACAAGGTCGAGCAGACTCTGCAGCCAAAGGTTTGGCACAGGTACTTTCCTTCCTCACCATCTTTAAGTGTTGCTCGATACTCCTTTCCATTTTGCCCATTCTAATTCAACTCTTGCCCACAATTTCTTATTTTCGCCGTGCCCATCCTCGACGAGGACGTCGGAGGATCTGGCCCTTCTATCCACGTGGATTATGAAGACCGATTACCAAAAGAAGACACA